AATACAATGTATAACCTGGTACATGTATACATTGTAATCTGTTAGCATAGAAATGACATTGTTAGAGTGAATTCTACAGAAGTAGAGAGAGGTCATAGAATAGATAATAGATGAAGAAGACAAAAAGTCAATGTATATAAGCTACTGCAAACAATTTCAAGTGGTATCAGTCAAAAGCTTCAACTATTGATTAGGATAATCAAATGAACCCTAACCAGATAGTATAGGTTTGTTAAAATGATTTAGTTCAATTATTAAAGTTTTCATAGTCTTATGTCACATCTTGATTTGATCATTTATAATGAGATACCATGGAATTCTTGATATTTATCGAAAATCGATTAATTTTGCTAATCAGTCAGTGGTTGTATCTTCAATTTATCATCATATCAAACGAAGATATACATGCAATATGCTTAGGGTTCGAATCCATATGTTATTTATATTACATATTGTTAACGACTATCCTGTTTGATGACAATGCTTAGAGGAGAAGACTATCTTTGTATATTGCATTCATTATTTGTGATAGGTATATGTCATGGTCACTATACATCAATTTGATTGCTTATGAAAAGGCATTTGACAGTGTAGATAGGAGAACATTATGGAAACTTCTTCGACACTATGGAGTTCCTGAGAAGATTGTTAACATTGACCGGAACTCATACGACGGACTACAGTGCAAAGTCGTGCATGGAGGACAGCTGACAAATGTATACCAAGTAAGGACAGGAGTCAGACAAGGCTGTCCCTTCTTTTTGCTTCTGGTGGTCGACTAGATTATGAAGACCTCAACATCTAAGGGAAGACATGGAATACAATGAACAACTCGGGAGCAATTAAACGATCTGCACCTCACAGATGATCTAGCCCTCCTATCCCATACACAAGAAAAAATGCAGATGAAGACAACTCGTGTATCAGAAATCTCTGCATCAATAGGCCTCAACATACGCAAAGGGAAAAACAAGGTCCTCAAATACAACACGGAGAACATCAACTCAATCACATTTGATGGCGAAATTCTGGAAAAGGTGGAATCCTTCATTTATCTGGGAATCATCATCGATGAACAAGGAGGATCAGATACATACGTAAAGGAGGGGATTGGTAAAGCAACAGCCACATTCCTACAATTGAAGAACATATGCAACTCAAAACACCTATCTGTCAACCAATATCAAAATCAGAATCTTCAATACGAACGTTAAGACAGTCAGTTCTACTGTACGGAGCTGAAACTTGCACAACTACTACAACCATCATCAAGAAAGTACACGTATTTAAAAATAGTTGTCAAAGCAAGATACTTAAACCCCCTTTGTCGGATGCCATCAACAACAGCCTCCTGTGTGAGAGGACAAAACGGCTTCCAACTGAAGAGTAAATTAGGAAAAAGCGATGGAAATGGATAGGAAATAATTTATGCAAATCATCAAACTGCATCACGAGGCAAGCCCTAAATTGGAATCGTGAAGGTAATCGGAAAAGTGGAAGGCCAAAGAACACATTACGTTGGAAAATATAATCAAATATGAAAAGGATGAATAACAATTGGAAAGAGCTGGAAAGGATTGTCAAAGACAGGGTTTGATGGAGATTATTGGTGGGCGGCCTACGCTCGTTCACGAGGAGTAACAAGCGTAATTAAGTAATATGTCATCGTTCTACCGTAGTTCTCTCTAAGTAGGATGTGGGGACGGTTTACGGTTGAACTCATTGAATGTCTAAGAAGTTCAGAAAGAACCAAACACATTCCATCTAATCATCTTTTAGAAGAATATTCCAGAATCTCTAAGTATAGTTTCTCTATAGAAAAAATGTGATAAACTCCTATAATGGTGATTTCACTTTTACTAAAACTTATAAATACCTGAGAGTTTTGTATCATATTTGACACAGTTTAGAATAACATTCCTTCTCAATCATTTTCTATTTTCTCATTTGAGACTAAGAGGGTTCTAGCATTCAACTACTCAAATTGTATACGGTATATCAAGGCTCTCAGCTCTAAATATAACAATGTGCTTGTTAATCAGTATGAGGTTTTTTTAAAAAAAAGATGACAGCACATTCTATTCTATTGCATAACTTACATCATCCATAACATGAATGACACGTCATGTCATATATCATGTAACAGTCAAGTTAATACTAACAAATTATTCAGTAATTAATAGGTCTTGTAAAACTATGATCTCAGACATCCCTAGTATGGTATTCCAGTCGTCAGGGCTGTACACTCATAAAATCAATTATACAGTCCTAAATGAATTCTTAGTATAAATTTGAATTTTATGTTATTTGAAAACTGAATGATCAGTTATGAAATAATGGAGAAGATTTATAGCTTAGGTGAATGATTTTGATAGAGTTTTATTCTCTGAACTGGATAGTTTTGTCATGAAGCTTTTATCGATCATCTGAACGACATCATCAGCACAAAGTTCAGGTAGTAGCCATTTATGAAGATGTAAAGTATGTGAAGATTGTTTCTTTTTTCATATCTGTGATAGATGGAGTTCAAGAATATCAGAAATGTGATGTGTATGTATCACTGAGAGCTGAATAATTTTATGAAGTGAATGTCTATCAAAATGAAAATCAATGGATTCGAACTTTGGTGATCTAAAGGGAATGAACTCATCAATGTGACTTAAACATACTTGATATTATCTCTAGTAAGTTCACAAGTACTCACTTCTATGTAATCATGTATTAAGATGCCATATAGGTCGATTGGTTTGTTGTTCTCAATTGTTTTACATTTGATTCTTGTCCGTAATGAGTAGTATCTTTAAGATAATGATTATGATTATGTTTTAAATCTTATGAATGATTTTGTACAGAGTGAGCCATTCAAACGGTAAAATACATTCTTATGAATTGTTTACCAGTATCAGTGATCAAGATTAACGCACTGAACTGTTTGAATATTCAATGAAGGAAGTTGAAAGATGATTAGGTAAACATGGATTGAAACTAGAAAATATTATTGATTGTAAATTGATCTGTTCAATAATGAGAATTATGTTGACTATGATAATTAAACATGATCAGTTCATGTTAGGGGTAACTTTAAAATGATCAAGAAATGAAGTGTAAATAGAAACAAGAAAACTATCTAGAGGTTCATGTTTACCAACTATATACTTGTGTACATTTATATTTATTTGATACATTTCAGTCAATTAAACAGTCAACTAAAATGTAGGACCAGGCATATATATGCATCGATCCAAGTTGCCATACCGCATTAGCACAATAACATGAACACCAAATTCATAAAAGTAGTTAATTCAATGGTGGAAATATATAAAACAATGATTGCACATAAGGATATAGTACAGGAAGAAAGAATTAGTTGGTAGAAAGCAAGGTATAACGTAATTTTAATCTCATAGTATAAGGGATGACAGAGAGTGTATACACTGACGCCATTGTGATCGATTCTGAGCCATGTCACCAAGAGTCTCCAATCATTCGTCAGGATAGTCACGCGAACACCAACCAAGTAGTCTGAATCTACCAACATGGCTGAGACCAGAGGTTAGTGACTTCAAGCACTGATGCCACGTTTTGGTTTGGCCGCCCCTAACTTTCTTCCAACCATCTCCAATACCGGATAGCATTGCACGTCGTGGTAATCGGTATTCAGGCATACGTAACACGTGGCCCAGTCATCTCAGTCGATGAAGATTCATAACCTCATCAACTGATTTACCATCATTTCCTAATTCTATGCGTCTAACCTCATTATTACTTATCCGGTAATTCCAGCAGATGTGAGCAACATTTCTAAGATATCTGTGGTCAAACACTAGTAGCTTACTAGTATCTACTACTCGTAAAGGACACGGTTCGCAGCCGTTAATTAGAATATTTCATCAGGTGTATACAACCACGCGGTCTAGCCATCTCACTCGATGAACATTTACAACTGAAGATACATTTCAGTATTAAATATAATTTCGTATCAAAATTTACTCTAATCATAAGAAAATTTGGGAAATTCTTTGAGAAATTTTCTAGTAAAATAATTGATCTTCAGGAAAACATAAACATGAAACCACATGGACACAACTGAATTATATATATTTTCAAGGATAATAATAATAAGAGGATAATCACTGATCGTTCATTAAGATTATTTCTATAGTCTCAATATAATTAAAGTATACTACTCATTACTTTATCATAAAACTTTAAGAATTCCATCTAGAAATGTATAATAATCATGATAGAATCTTTAATGTAAATCATATTTTACAAGGTGTATGCTTGTTAACGAACAAGTATAAATAGAGACAGACATTAGAGGAATGAACAACGATTGGATGGAACTAGAAAGGAAGGTTCAGAAAAGAGTGGGTTGAAGAATGCTGGTCGGCGGTCTGTACTCCACTGAGAGTAACAGGCTTAAGTAAGTAAGTAAGTAAGCGAGCGAGCGAGTGAATGATTGAGTAAGTAAGTAAGTGATATGATGGGAAGAAAAGTCAGAATTCGATTGATTTGGTCATTATTATATGTATAATAATGATAATAACAATGATAAGAAACTCCGCCTGGAGTCCCTCCGAGGGCTACTGCCGGTCCCAATCACGGATAAAGGAGGAGGGTTGGGCATGGGGTTCGCGATCCCATTCCGTAGAAAACTAACTCGCTAAAAAAACACTAACCAGAAAAAATTATTCAAACCACTTGAACTCTGCCCTGGGAGTTAAAAGGTCTTCATTTAGAAGAGTTATGACGCCTCATGATAAAAGCCGAATTCCTTCAGAATTCACGATGCCGATGCCCTTTCTGACAACCAGAGTAACCATTTATTTAGGTACATGGATGTAACAATGATAAGAAAAAGGAAAGAATGATTATAGCCTTACCTTTAAGTTCAGAATTGATTCGTTTAATCGATTGATTCATTCCATTATTCAATGGATTAGATTCATCTTTCTGTGTATTATATTCATTAGATATAGTTTTATTCAAATGAAATATCATTGAATGAGAATTAATGATGATGATGATGATGATGATGATGTTTTAGTCTTTGATAGATCCATTATATTCAATTGAATATCATTGGGTTTAACTATAGTTAAAGGAATTCTTGGTGTTTCTAATCCAGCTGTTTTACATGAGAAACCTTCTATTTTATTACGATGATTATCCTTATCCATTGAAGTGTTATTATTATTATTATGGTTTAATCCTAACCATGTTTCAGTTAGATTTGGTATTGTATATTCATAAAATAAATAACCTTGTTCAGTCATAGCAGTACGACATTTAATAAGACTTAATTCATTATCATATGGACATTGATTAGGTATTTCGCCGACACATGCAGATTGACAATTATGAAAACAAAATTTACCCCATGGGGCTATAGGACATTGAAAGAACATACTATAACCATTAAGTATATTATTATTATTATTGACTTCTAATTGTTTATTATTGAATGAATGAACTTCACAACGTATTATTAATGGTTGATTTAATTGTACTTGATTAGACGATGGATTAAAACTTATCGTTAATGGTGTATCTGATTCAATATCTAATGGTTTACTATAAATGATAATAATTCCATAGATTATTAGTAATAATAATGAAAGAATCATTTCAACAATTGAATGTAATGAATTTGATCTTGAATGATACAACATGGTCTTCTTCTTCTCCTTCTTCGTAGAAACTGGGACACTTCAATTAGTTGTTCTTTGTTCTCTTATCATGTAAAGTATATGATGGATAAAATAAGGTATTTCATTGAATTTAATAAAGGACATAGTAACTAATTTATAATTTAGTTATTCCATTAGTAATTTGTTTCTATGCAAAACCAAAAAAAAATTTTTTTCTGTCATAAACTAAGAGAACAGACGACAATTTTGTAATTTAGATCCAGGACATACGATTTTTAAAAAAATCATCTCTTTCTCCAGAAAAGTTATTCACATGTTGTGTTCACACTACAATAAATGATCATCATTAAAAAATGATAATAAGCAACAGAGTCTTTTCTTTTTTTGAAAACCCACCTCCCCCTCCTCCAAAGAAACCTTACTACACCATACTACAGCATAGCATAGCACAGCACAGCACACGCATACACGCACAGACACACACACACACACATCAGTGTCATCACCAATACCAACCATTATGTGCTTTAAAAATTAACCAATTAATTTGTAGGGTGGAAAAAATAGTGATGCGTGGGCGTCCGGTACATTATTATGGTTAACAAATAATAGTAACATCAATGTGTTGAATGATTTATTTGATTATCACTTTTTTTGTTGTTGGTAAGACAGAATTTTCAATATTCATCTTAGTGAGGGATAATTTTTGTTTTAAAATCATTAAATGGATAAGGAATACTATCAAGAAATTGAAGTATTCAATGGAAGTATATTTCAATTGAATTTGAATATGAAGTGAAAGATTTTAAGTGAGAGTATAATTTATGGATGATGTGTTGAGCGAAGCCAAGATAATCTTGAAATTGTCCACCTAATAATTAGGATTAAATGAACACCAATTACCACGATGTGCAATGTTGATTAGTGTAGGGGATAGTTAGAAGAAAGTAAAGGACAGCCAAACCAACACGTGGCATCAGTGCTTGAAGTCACCAACTTTTAGTTTGAGCCTTGCTGGTAGATACAGACTACTTGATTGGGATCTGCGTGACTATCGTAACCAACGATTGGACACTCTGTGTGACGGCTCAGAATCGATCACAATGGTGTAGTTGTACACATTTTCTATCTTCCTTTAAACTATGAGATTAAAATCGCTTTATATCTTTCTACGAACTAATTCTTTCTTCCTGTACTATATCCTTATACACAATGTTCCTTTTATGTATTACTACCATCTTGTTGTTCTTATGAGGTATGGCAACTTAGATCGATGCATATTTGTATATATATACCTGGTCCTACATTTTAGTTGGTTGACTGACTGGCTGAGCTATAATGCTGAAACCCTATTTAAGCAAATGGTTGATTGAATTTCGGGCTAGATGAGGGGCGAGACTATAATTCATAGAAGGACCAATCACATTCAGGATAATAGATTTCGGATTTGGGATCGAAATTCATTCATTCATTTGGGTAAAAAGCGTTTTGTCATTTTACTTGATGTCAGTAAGTGATGAAAAACCGTAAACCTAATTCTTAACTCTTAACCATCAACTATAAATCATAATCCTTATTCTTCATGCAGGTTTATAACTTTCATATTTAGTCGCAGCAAGTAGAGTGGACATTCTTAAGGTCATTTTGGCGTCGCTCGAAGGTCGTCCATAAATTATAGTCTCACCTCTTTGTAATTTTTGTTTTTGTAGTGAACGAACACTCACGTGGGGGCAATCAATTTATTTTTAGTACACACAGTACAGCACGATTGATTCATTACAGTAGGTGAGATAGGCCACCACGTCAAAGTAGCAGTAACGGTCGGTGATAAAATTTGAGAACCATACATTGAATACTTTCGGTGAGAAATTCCATTATTTGTCCTTCACATTCTATATGATTCTTCAAAATCATAATTCTTATCTATTTCCATTTCTGTTTTCTTCAAGTCGATCTTCAAAGCCTACTGTTGTCATGCATTTCTCAATTGATTGGCGTCACATACTACGTATGTCGACAGGTATAAGTAGCATACACCACATTTTTATCACTGAACTGACAAACAAGTTTTACCTACATTACTTTGATGTTTATGTTTTCAGTGCGAGCCGAATTTCATTATTTCTTAATTTATAAGGTAGATTGATATCTATTAGATAATCTAATGGATCTTTGATTCACAACTGATCTCATTATGAACTTGAAGGTAAGCAGATATACTTCAGGATTGATACGTTGATTCTAAACTACAAGTAAGCAATTGCTATCACAATATAATTTAATGAAATTGAATTCACATTCACTTGATATTGTATACCTGAATCTTCCCATTCATTTTTAAGACTGCAGATTGATCAGTCTCTTATTGGCATATGTGTAGCTTGTGCAGATTGCCCGGATATTACTTTCATTTACAAGCATTCACTCTGGGATGCAGGTACACTAAGCTGACGAATCCCAAATAGGAAGAAACACGTAGTCTGGATTTCACTGCCAGCCACTATTCATTTTTGCTTAAAATGCTCGTGACTTAAGGCAATATCAAGGCAATCTGCACAGGTTGCATATATGCCAATAATAAGAGACTGATCAATTGTAGTCCTAAACAACAATCGGAAGATACAATTAAACAACAATACCAAGTGATTTCATGCAACTGGTTCCCTTTATGAATTTAAATAAAGCAAGAACAAACATTTCGAGGTTTCTCGTCAGCTGCTTACAAGCCAAAATTATGATAGAATTTTTACATGGAGATAGAGTGAAACCAAATGACATAGATGAGTGTAAATAACTGGGTTACAATAATAACTATATATATATATATATATATATATATATATATGCTAGAAACAGGTCAGAGGTCAAAAGAGGGGGGTTAATCCAGGGTGGGTGGTGTAATAATTCAATGAAGTTCATAAACTGTGTGATAATTGTAGTGATTAATGGAATTAATTAACGATAAGGTAGATTACGTAATAATAATTAAATAAGGTTTGGAAAGTTAAGATGATTTAAGAGGATCAAGTGGTGGAAATGTGTGAATAAAATTTTTTAGTTTAAGAATTAGGTAATACGGGGGGGGGAATATAAATTATCTTAGAATAAGTAACTGAATAAAATAATCAAAACACAAAACAAACAAACAGAAACAAAAGTGATTACCAGGGTAGTGATAAGTCTCTTTTTGGATGCATAAGTCCGGTTTCAGTTTCTTAATTGCAATGGCTTTAACAAACTTATCACTACCCTGGTAATCTATTTATTTCTATTTGTTTGTTTTGTGTTTTGGTTCATTTTATTCGTTGACTTATTGTAAGATTTAAAACAATTAGTCCCTTTGATAAATTTCGATAATGCAATGAGAAGACGTAGTTTATCGGAATTATGTGATGATAGATTTGAGCAATACATTTCGAACAATCTGATCACACATCATCTACTTGTTAAGAACATTTATATATGAAAACTTAAAAGGTCAACTAGACAGGTTAAGGGTTAGTCATAACAAAGGAAAATATATTAAAGTACACAAAAACAAATGTGATTATCACTCTGGTTAGTAAATCAGTACTACCAGGGTAGGTTAAGTGTAAGTACAAATTGTTTTTGAACACATAAAGGGGGTTTCAATTTTCGTATAGCCAAGGCTTCAATTAACCTTAGTATACGTCCTTGAAGGCTTTGGTACAACACAACAAATGCTGATTTGATATCAACCTTATGACCCGTCTCAATCAAATGTTTCGCAATGGATGATGATGTCTGACTATCCTGTGATCTTATTTCACCATTGGAATTCATCTGATTCTGCAACCATTTTGGTAAATGTTTACCCGACCTTAATTGCAAATCACGATTGCTCCTCCCTACGTACGTGTTTCCACACATACATGTGAATTTGTAGACACAATGGGATGTGACACAGTCGTTTTCATGCTGTTTGGGCTTTTGGTGAAACATCGACCTTGTCTTTTCGATAATGACAAGTCGGGCTGCATAAAATGTCCGGCTGATAGCTAATTTAAGTCTCTGTTTCAATATGAAACTATTTGTGTCACCTCTGAATGGTAGCGCAATATAAACTCGCTTTTTGGGTGCCAGAAGCGTCATAGGTCTAGTCATATTAAAACCCTTCCAGCGGTTTATGAACTTCAAAGGGTAACCATTATTGATTAACGCATCAGTCAAGAGCTTCACCTCTACTTCAATAGTATCACTAGTACAAATACGATTGATTCTATTGAATAAGCTCTTTATTAAACCGCGTTTATAATGAATAGGGCAGTGACTATGAAAATTAAGATATTGTCCTGTCCATGTTGGTTTTCTATATGTAGCACGTTTGATGGACCCATCATCTCTCCTAGTAATCAGGATGTCAAGAAAAGGAAGTTGGTTGTTCTTTTCTTCCTCACGTGTAAGAGAAATGTGCTTTTGACTACTATTGAATTCTTCTAACAAGCGGCTTATGTCTTCAATTTTATCATCTATGATTATTATGTCATCTACATATCGTTTATACAGACTCATCTTTCGAATAGAGTCTCCAACTAAATTTTCCACATATCCCATGAACACATCAGCTAGCAATGGTCCTAGAGGGCTGCTCATAGCTACACCATCTATTTGTCTGAAGTGTTCACATCTTCAAATGTGAATTTTACATTATCTGTACATAATAATAATAATAAGTCTTTAAGAGTTTTAACAGGAAAAGGCAGTGGAAGGTTTTTCGAGGAAATAAAGTCACACAAAATATCAATGGTTTTCCTAAGAGGTACATTTGTAAATTAAGTGTTTACATCAAAGGAGCACATTGTCTTTCTCTTTATATTTTTAATCCTTTAAGTAATTAATTAATTCGAATGAGTCAGTCAAAGAATACTTACAATATTGATTTCTGATAGGGTTTAATAATTTTGTAAGCCATTTTGCCAGGTTGTGTGTAGGTGACCGACACTTAGATAGAATTGGACGTAGGGGGGGGTATTGGGCTTATGAATTTTCGGTAATCCATATAAATGCGTAATCATCTTCCAT